TTAAGATAATAATATATTCTGAATAAAATCGAAATTTAAAAATTCTGCTTGTGTGATATAGTTCAAAACAAGGATCCACACAGAGTCCAACATTGCATATTTTGCACTCATAATATGATGTTTTTTTTCGATTTTTTTTAGCACATACACACATCTTCTTCTACTTTTATTTCCTTTCCCACCAATATAAATTTTTGGAAATGTCTACCAGTTAGACGAAATGGTTGAATGCCCGGTAATTTTGAACAAGTTTTTGAGCTCCTTGGTTTAGCGAATTTTCCTATTATTTGATGAATAACTCTGGATCTGAATTCCAAAGCAGATATTTTCTCGCCTTTTACCTTCGAATATATTACATTTGCATTTAGAAGTGCCATATCTAACAAACCAAAAAACAGCTTTTTATACCATTTTACGGTTTTTCTGAATGCTGGATAGTGATGAATAATAGAATCGCCAATGTCAACACCCCCCATATTGTGATTATACTCCACAACGCAGAGTGGCTTCAAAATGTCCTTTCCAGTCTTTCGGTCTTTTTTACCAATTGGCACAATAACGCCGTCATGTATAGTTGATAACATCAGCACTTTTTTCCTTTTGTCATTAAATGCAAATAAATTCACTGAATTTTCCGATCACATATCCCTAAACTTCTACGAAACACACACATAAAAAAAAAAAAACGGCTCCAAAACCGAACATAAATATTTTACTCTTACCCGTTGCTAATCCGCTGAATGTACTCCCCCATATTCTCCTAATGAAAAAAACAAAGCAATAAACAAGTCACTTGAACTCACATGTGCCCTTTCAAACACCCATGTTTCCCAGTTTGTTTATATTAACTAGAAGAAATTCTTTCTTCAATTTCTATATTTGATTAATTCATCTATTTCAAAATCTCGATCTGTCAAACCTCAAAAGACAAACGCAATTCTACTCCAACATTTCAACTAATAAACGTTCCATAAATTTCCACAATCTGTCAAAATATAAACACAGCGAGCAATAAATCCCAGCCCTTTAAAGAGCCGTAATTCTCACTTTGTTTACATCAATAAATATATCAAATACAGAAGCATAGAACAGAAACCAATGCCCGTTCATGAAGGTCAAATACCATATGAGTCGACCGTTGTGAAAACCGTTGCCATTTAACGCCATCTAGTAGCATTTAAAAATTCAAATAAAACAAGCGACGCTGGGCTGATAAGAGTGGAATCGCTGCGTTGCGTCCACGCGACCTTGGTCACGAACGGGTTAAGATAAGTAGTGTTAGGCTTGCGTCCTTTATATAGTTCATATGGTGTAAACCTTTTATCATTTTTGTGACTTCTGTTATTCACATGTACAGCTATTTTAACGCTTTCAGACCAAAATTTTATCGGTAATTCTGCATCAATTAACATAGTTCTAGCAGATTCAATTATAGTGCGATTAAAACCTTCAGCTTTTTCCATTACTTTCCGGAGTATAAGGGGTTGTAAGTTCATGTTTAATTAATTCCCATTTTTTCAAAAAAAAAAAAAAAAAACTTTTATATTTTTAGCTAAAAACTCACTACCATTATCACTACGAATTCTTTTTAGTTTGTTTCCTGTTTGTCTTTCTACTTGAATGATAAGTTTGATTAGAGCTTCTCAAGTTTCACTCTTCTTCTCAATTGTTATCACACAAATATGAAATTACTGTAATCATCTACCACTGTTAAAAAATAACAGCTTCCATCTATTGATTTCTCAATTGGTCCAACTAAATCTATGTGCCATAATTCTAAAATATCTTCAGATTGCTTAAATTTCACACTTTTATAAGATGTTTGTGTTATTTTACCTAATGTATAAGGTTGACAATTGTTTTCAGAAATTTTTACATTTTCTAATCCCAATGACCGATGAGTGTTTTTTTTCATTTCTATCAGCCTTTGATAATTTATATGACCTAGTCTCTGATGCCATAGTACATCATTAACATAACTAATTTTAGCTTCTTCAACAATATTTCCTTCAACTTCAAATTTATTTCCATTTCTGTTAGCTATATATAGAATGTTTCCCTGTTTATGATCACTTCTGCTTTATTTTTTGATAAAAATTACTTTTAAATCATGATCTACAATTTTTGATACTGACAGCAGATTTTCACTTAAATTCGGTACTTGCAGAACATTTTCTACTCTCAGATGTTCTTATTTCTATCAGTTTGCATTTTAATGTTACCAATACCAACTGATTTGATCATGGCCCCTTTTTCAGCCGTCATTATTTGTCGTTCTTCATCTTTAAAATGAGTAAATATTTCTTTATTAGTTGCCATGTGAGATGTGGCTCCTGAATCAATAATCCATTTAATTTTTCTATTCTGTTGTTCATTATTTTATTCTTTCCATCATTTCTATCTTGATTAAGATAACTTCAAATAAGCATGTAGCTGATTCATATTCTCTTTCCTTGCTTGACATTCTATAAGTTTTATTTGTTACATTTCTCTGCTGTCGGTGTTCTTGTTTAGTTTTCATTTTACATTCAGTTGATTTGTGGCCGAATTTTCCACATCAAAAGCACTTTATACTATTATTATTATTTCGACATTCTTTTATTAAATGTCCTAATTTTCCACAATTAAAGCATCTTCTTTCATATTTCGATTTTATCCAGTTTTCTTTTGCCTTAGAACTTACTTCTATTTCTTTTCCTCTTTGTTTATTTTTTCCTTCTGTTTCTTTTAAAGCTTGTCTAATTGAAGCTAGATCTTTCTCTTTATTGCTTTTAATAATTTTAACATCAAATTCAAATTCCTTTCTAAGTCCTTCTAGTATGAAGTAAATTAATTCTTTATCTCTTATTTCATCTCCAACTTGAATACTTTTACTTTTCAGAATAACAGCTCTATTCATATAATCATCTACTGATTCATTTTGACTCATTTTCAGTTGAGCTAATTCTATTCTGCATTTGATTTGAATATCTTCTGTTCTTGCCGCCATTTCATTTTTGATTTTCTCCCATAACTTCTTTGCGTTCTTTTCATTCGCATATTTTAGCGCTTGTGGAGCTGTCATAGTTTGATTCATTATATTTCTTGCTATGACGTTATTATCATCCCATATTTCCCAAGTTTTTATTTCATTTTCGAAATTAACATAATTCTTTTTATATGGTTTTGGTGGTTCATCAGCTTCTATCACACTTCTCCATATCTTTAAACTTCTTAATTCACTTTCAACTCTGTTGGCCCAAATAAGATAATTATCGTCACTTAATTTTTCTATATGACTCAAATTTATCATATTATATGCCATATTTTCTAATTTATATTCACTAATTATAATACAAGTCTAATTTATCTCTTAGAGAAATTGGCTATTTTGTTAAGCCTAAACAACATCAATGTTCTATCTGAAAGTTTATTAACAGAGGGGGCAACCACGCTCTGCTACCAAATGTTGGTTATTTAAGATTGGCATATATATAACATTCTCAAAAGAATTATCCACTTCTAACAAAAATACATTATGGCAATATACAAAAAGAAAACTTTATTAAAGAAAATCAGACATAAGAAATCTTACCACATTCTACCAAACCATAATAATAAAAAACTCTCTCTTCCAGATACATTTTTAACTCATTCTTTTTACAATTTAATATCAATGTTGCCAAAATATTAAAACTTAAAATTATGCTTTATAAACAAATACTATCACATATAAAGCTGGAACACAAAGTGCACAATTATTTCTAACTAATTTTACTTTCAGATTCGGCAGAAGTGCTTGTGGTAAGTTACTAACTTAAGCAAGATTTGCAGAACTTTCTTCCTTGCTAGTTTCTCTTTCATTGCTACTTAGCACAGGCTTCTTAACGTTTACTTCTAAACACATAATTTGTACTGTGATTCATGTATTATATTGCTCATTTAATGGAACTCCTGCATTTGTTTGCACAGTGACCAGCCAGCCTTTAAGCAGTGAAAGAAGTGCCCTTTATCTTTTAAAAGGTTTTGTTATTTTGAAAATGGCATTTTTTTAACCTCAAAGGAAATTAATCATGTTTTCCACTGCAAAAAAAAAAAAAAAAAAAAAAAAAAAAAAAAAAAAAAACACTTCGTAGTATGAGAATCAACACTCAACAAACTTGCTGCCGGCATACTTATGTTAATGGCAGCTACAGTTAGAAGTAGAAGTTTTTCAATAGAATGACCTTGCTATTTATATATTGAATCTTTAAATATATTATAAGTTTTTTTACATGTAAGCAGAAAGTCCTGATTAATCTAATTAAAATAAAAAATTAGACAAAATGCTTAAATACTTAAATATGTAAATTTTTCATATAATGAAGCAAACTTAAATTCAAATGGTTATTGCATGTTATATCCTATAGACACACTTTTGTATATAAAAATTGGCAACACTTCACACTGCGGGAAATATTTTTAAACTGTGCAAAACATTGGCCAGTGTCACATATTTTATATTTATAGAGTAGAATATGAAATAATACTCATAAAAACAAAGTTAACCTTAGCACATGCCAATCACAAATTTGATGGAATTTTAATACCATTTATTCATTTTTTAAAATTTGAAATATGGTCCAGATTACAGACTTTGTACTGTACTTAAATTTTTATTGAGGAAAGATAAAATTCGTGATTCAGAAATGATTAACTATTTTTCACATAAAATTAGTTCTGCTGTTGTATCCTTGCAATACTGATTGCCTCCAGAGGTGATATCTATGGAAACTGTCACCATGAGAGGGTCCACAGTGTCTAATCATGTAATCTTTTCAAAACACTCAGTGTATCCATGAAGCTAACCGTAACTAACCTGAAATTTCAAATGTATCTGATGGTGTATAAAATGTTAGATGTAATATGTAGTGTAATTATATTGCAACAACGGTATATTGTAGCAGTCATGTATTATAATCTTGAAAAATTACCCCGCATTTCTTTCACATAATAATTTTCATATTTTCTCCTTATTCTAGACTGGAGTATTCTGTATGTCATTATTATATCATTTATTATTGTTCTGGCTTTGGCTGGAATAGTTTGGGGTATTGCTTGTTGCTGCACAAGGTATGTATTAAAAAAAAGCATTCATCATATATTTTCTTAGTCTTGAATTTTGATTAATATTAAAATTTTGAATTCTTGTTAAGCTGTTTTATAACTCAACAAATCATGCAACATTTCAACACTGAGAAACAAGCATATAGCACCCCCTGTTGATGATTAAATTTTTAATGCATTGGGAAATAACATTTGTAAAATGAAACATGTTTTTAAATATTATGAAAAATTTTGAAGGGCACTTAAGAAAAATGTTATTATTAGAATATGGCAAAATTGAATCAGTATTTATATAATAATTTTTATTCAAGATCCTAATAGGAATATTAGTTATCATTTTAAGGTGAAGATTATCTGTTCCTTTTAATTTGCCCTTTTGTATATCGTTGTAACTGAAACTAACCTGCACGCTTTCCCGTGTTATTTTATGTAATAAAGACACATAATTAACTGTCTAATTCTTTAAATGCCCTATTATCTTTTATAAATTGGTGAAAATTTAAGGTTAGAAATGGAAGATTTAAAAAACAAAATATTTATTTCTTTAAAATAGTACCTTTGTTTAAAAAAATGCAATATAAGTATGAGACTAACAGTAAGTCCTAAAGTTGAATAGGGCCTCCCCCTCCCAAAAGGCCATTAAATGTAATAGATGTGTATTATTACAGAGTAGAATAGTATTGTACTAGCTGAAAAATACGGAACAACTTGAGCTACTGTTCAGATATGTGCAAATAGTTCATATTTTAGTAATAATTCATTTCCTTAGTAGGATTATGCTTAACACCAATTCTTTATTATAGCTTTAAAATGCGATTTTATTTCATCTTGTTAACACAAGGTCAAACTTAACCACTTCACTTGCGCTAAAAAGACGTGCCACACACGTCAAGATGCGTTTTCCTCAAACCGCGCGTAAAAGTGAAAATAATGTGGTGCACACACCGCCTAACAATGAGATTGTTTATTTCTCGAGTTACAGCTCTGGATTGCACTCGCCGATGTGGAGCGGTGTAAATGAGACACTTTACTGTTTGTTATATTGTAGCGCATGGCACCGCAACCATGAAGTTTAGTCGTAATGCAAGTGGTTAATCATATTGTTCATGCTGAAAGTCATACCGGAGAAACTGCCATTCAATATATAGCTGTCTAATTCAAAAACATTAAATTAATGTAGGCAATTATTTAACAAAAATCAGTTCTTTTAATTTTTTACTATAAATAGTGTTTTAAATTTACTCCAAAAAAGTAATACAGTACAAAGTCTGTAATACAGACCAGAATCCATTATCCAGACCTCAAAGCCACAAACTTTACGCATGCGCGTAAAGAATGCACATACATTATGCATGTGCGTAAAGCCACAAACTTTACGCATGCACATAAAGAATGTGCATACATTATGCATGCACGTAATGTATGCTTTACGCATACGCGTGTTGAAAGAAATGTTTAATAAAGTAAACAAATAAATATGAAGCTTTTTTTTTTGTAAAATTTGATACCCTTTAGATCATAATTGCTCTTTTTTTCATAAATTATGATTTCATATTTTTAATTGAATAATTTCTGCATGCCATCTTACCAGATTTAAATTGATGATCTATAATCTGGAAAAACCTAATTCGGAATTGCCAAAGTCCCGATGAGTTTGGATTACAGACTTTGTACTGTAATAATAACCAATCTGGTGTCATCATCACCCATGATGCAATAGCACAGGGTGTGCCAAGGCCTTCTGAACTAGGCATTTGCAGTCACCTCTACTAGCAGCCAAACTCCTCCAATTCTTTGTTTTAAAGACTAACAATCCTCCTGTACAGCATCTATCCAGCAAATTCTAGATGTTCTTCTTCTGTTTGTCTTACGTGGTCTAGCCGAAAAATTTTCATTTATTATATTACAGTCATTCATACAGATAACAAGCCCAGCCCAACTGAGGCAGCTTATTTTAATGTAATGAACAACATAGGGTATAGTTTGGTGTTGCATCTTGAACAGCGTGTCACTGCCTATTTGTCATTGCATACTCGGCACCACAGTACATCCATGTTTAATCAAGTACTCACCAGCAATGAAAAGTGGGTCCAGTAGGACACACCCAGACGTTCCAGACATTGGTTGTCACCACAGGACCCTATGCTTCACACTACAAGACCTTCTCTCCACCCACGCAAGATCATGTTCTGTATCTGGTGGACTAGTCTCCAAGTGGTGTACTATGAGCTAGTGGGCCAAACCATCACGGCAGGCCTGTAATCGTTGCAGTTGGAATGTGTGCATCAGGCACTGATGCACAAAGAGCATTGGTCAATCGTAAAGGTGTACTTCTCCTCCATGACAATGCAAGACCGCATGTGGCTAGGGACACCATCCAGCGACTGGGCTGGGAGACACTACCCCATCCACTGTACTCTGCAGACCTTGTGCCAACAGACTACCACCTTTTCCATTTCCTGGACAACCATCTTCATGGGAAATCTTTCAACAACCAGCCAGACCTCGAAAAGCCCCTCACGGACTTCTTTGTGACCAAGACTCCTGAGTTTTACCGCGAGGGCATCACACAGCTAACCGCTTGTTGGCAAAATGCACTGGATGCTGATAGTGATTACTTTGAGGATTGGTTGCAATTATTATCTGTTTTATGACTTTTTCTTTCTGACTGTCCAAAACAGCAAGAATTTTTTTGGTTACCTTGTACTAATGAAGTTGAACCATCAACCTCTAAAAATAGCAAAAAATGCACTATTACGGACAGCAAAGGATTTATTTCCCCATGCAACACAATCAAAAGACCTCTCCCTAACAATGAGCAAAGTGAAGCATCCCAATCAAATAAATTTTCTGAATTGAACCAAGATGATCACATGGATGAAAAAGTACAGAAAACATCCCTTACCAACCTAAAGTTGATGTTCCCCCAATTGTGTTGATGTGTTGCAAATTGGGAAACATTGAAAGTAGCAACATTACCAGTTACAGAGCTAATATGAAAAGTGAAACTCTAACAATTAGAGTTTATGAAATATATCATTATAGCTTTGTCACAAAATACTTCAAATGCATGGAATACCTTTCCTTAGTTTCAAGCTTAACAGTGAAAAGCCTATCGAAACTCTTATCAAAATGTTGCCCAAAAACACAGATGCTGAAGTCATCAAACAGGAGCTAATTCAAAAGGAAATCTGAGTGTTAAAAGTATGTCAACTCACTACCATAAGAAAAGGAAAGACAGCTAAATTGCCACTTTTCCAAGTTGGATGCAAACGTTCTTTAGAAGGTAACAAAACTCTACAAAATCTAAAAACTTGGTGGTTTAAATGTATTCAGGGCCACATACAAATACAAATCTAGGCCCATGCCGTGCCATAAGTGTCAAAGATATGGGCTCACATGGGAATTTTGTCACTGCACAGTGTGATGCTTGAAATGTGCGAAGCATCATGAAACATATACCTGTACTCAGAAAAAAGAAGATCAAAAGCCTGCCGCTTGTGCCCTTTGTGGTGGAGACCACGTTTCTTCATATGAGGGTTGCGTTAAACACCCTAAAAATATCTTTAAAGCCAAAGAAGCAGTTAAAACTAAAAAAAGAAGCTTTGGAAAACACCAAAAGCAATAATTTCCAGCTTGCAGAATCAGAATTTCCATCCTTACCTAATACAAACGAATAAAACATCCCAGACACCTCTTCAGCGTGGTTCAAGAAAAAGCAAAAACCAGAAAAAGATATATCCTTTTCCGCCTGAATAAAAATCCACATGCAAAAAGCCAAAGAATTTTTCGTAAAATTTAAAACTGCAAAATCCATTCTGGATAAAATCAAAATCGGAATTGCAGCCTTTGATTATTTTTCAAATCTTGACTTGGAATTCTAGTTTTGCTACAATTCAACTAAAGCATCTTTAAAAAGCTCTCTCAACTACTCATCTCACCTTACTCATCCTCATTTACCAACTTAATACTCAGTGGAACTTGTAGACAGCTTACTGTACATATTCCATTTCTAATTATGAACTTATATTATTTTATTCATCTTATGATTTTTGAATTTGATTTGGCAAAGATTATGGACTTCGTTTATGTACTTATCTCCTTACTTACTATCTTGGACTTATGTATTCTTGACTAAGCTTTAATCACAATGGTCATCATCAAGTCATACCTGCAAGTTCATGTTTTTCATAATCATAAATTCATGTGTACAAGACTTTTAGTACTTTTCCTCGTTGCCTTGGACTATATTTTAATGAAAAATTGTTTAATTAGTCATTTTCTGTGATTTCCTATCAACTTGGTCACTGAACAGTCATGAACTGCTCCTCCTTTGCCTGCCTCCACAACTTAACGCATCGTTCGTCGATTTATGCTTTTAAAGTATGAACTTTCATCATCCTTTTCCACCTCTGTGCGATGATGCACAGATGTACATCTTTTATCTTTAAACCAAGTAAATGTTTTATATGGTATTAATTTTCAGTGTACTGGTTAAAACTCTTTCAGTAGTTGTGTACCCAGTGACGTAGCTAGGGTGCGGCAAAGGGGGACATCTATTTCTGGGCGCAGCATCCAGGGGGTGCCAAACTGATGCTACAAAATGTTTTAATGAAATGTTTTCCATTCTTCATGCACAGGAAAGGGGCGCAAATTCTTCAGTTGTTCCCGGGCCCTGGAATCTCTAGCTACTCCCCTCTGTGTACCTGTAATAAAGTCAGAATGTACAATCTATGATGTATCACTTTTTCCACACCTATTGCTGCTTGAAGAAACCATTTATCTCACTTTGCTTTCTTTCTCTATTGTTTTAAAAATGGGAGTGAATATTTTGGGAACAGATCGCGCCCATTATGCACTGCTACTCGGTATAATGTTGGAATGACGTAATTATCAAGTAATAAAGATGTGTTGTGCTTATCAAAGGATTTTATGGTTCTTCTAAGAGATTACATCTTTTGCTCTGTCTGCATTGTGCGTCTCACCTATTGCCACTTCCACCATGA